GGGTGCCCCGGCCTGTGGCAGCGGGTTGGAACTGGATGACCTTTAAGGTCCCTTCCAACCTGCTTTATGATTCTGTGATAATGCTGAAGTTTTACGTCCACATTCACCCACAGTTCAGAGAGCTTACATCTGCTGAGCTATAAACTAGCAATTTTAAGCTTGATAAACAAGAGGTATACGGTGAATGCCAAGATTCAGTGACCATTATCTAAATGTAACTTACTGAACTTTAGATTCAGCAACAAATGGCTGTCTGTTGGCCAGCCTGAAGACCTCAGAAAAGAAACAGCCTCTTTTCACCTTTGTTTCCTTAGAGTTGCAGAAATCAATCTCTAATGTCCCACATCATCATGTATTTCTCACACCTTGCAGTTTATTCCCGGTTTGTCCATATGTAGCAATTTCTGCTACAAATGGTTTTTACCAGTGTTTAATGTTTCTTTCATGCCAAGACTATGTCTGTAATACTTATAAGGGGTCAGGGTTTAAAGCTCACTTGTAATCTTGCTTGTAAGTGAATTTTTTATACTTTGACAATAATACCCTAGATATTTAAATGATTTCTATGAACTGGAGCTGCAACACGGTTCCGGCGTTGTCGGCTGGAGTATTCCTGTGACCAAAGGGATCTTGCCATCTCCACGAGAATCTCACACAGCCATCATATACTGCAGAAAAGATTTGGGAAGTCCAAAGATGTATATTTTTGGAGGGATGTGTGGCTGTCGGCTTAATGATCTCTGGGAACTTGACATAGGTGAGTTGATTTGCCAGTAGAAGTCAGTGCAGGGGCCTTACAGGCCAAGAGGAAAAATTACAGTATATAATGATGGGACTTACACCATAGTGTTAGCCTTTGGGAATTTTTGGAATTAAATAGATAAGACATTGTTTGCATATGGTTTTGCTCACACTGTGAGATTATTTCCTTAGAGTGCTTTAAAGACTGTCAGTATGATAACCAAGCTGAATAACCATAATGAAACCTTAACATGTCTTTTTGACAAACTGACAAACAATTAGTTTGTCAGTATTTCTTGTGATTCTTAAAAGAAGCCTTAAGTGCTTGTTACTGCGCTGCCTTTCTTAAAATGGCCATCTGAAAAGGGTGGAATTCTGTTGTTCAGTGTTAAAGGTATGTCCAATCCTAAAATCCAGGTAGTGAAATATACAGTAATGCATTTTTTGAATGGTTTTATTCTTTTTCTTTCAGAAACGATGACCTGGTCAAGACCAGAAACTAAAGGGACAGTACCACTTCCTCGCAGTCTCCATACGGCCAATGTAATAGGAAACAAGTATGTCTGTTGTTAAAAGCTCAGCTCTAGAAAGGTACACCTAGTAGGAGAATGATGATGTTTATCCACTACTGCTCAGTATAAACCATCAGCCCTATAGAGTACTCTTCTGCTTCTATTATGCTATCTCAGAGGAAATGTAAAAGTACCATTGTTAACTTAAGGGTATCAAACTGCTCTGGTTGGCAGGACAATCTGCCTAACCCACAAGCAGCTTTCCAGGCTTCTCCGTGCACCTTTGTGCATTCTGTGGCAGTCTCAGCTGGACCTGAGCTGGCTCTATCAGGAGACAACTTGAGTGCCTCTGTGTCTGTGATACAGTGAACTACCTATGCAAAGAAAATGCCCAAAGGGCAGAACTAGTTCTAGGCAAAACCATTCCACATTTTTGTGGGCCAGTTTTTTCTGTAATCTATTCCTCATTACTTTACTTCTTGCCATTATGGTTGGTTTTGGTGGATAGCATTGATAAAATGGACTTTTAAACATGGATTTCAGTCCATTTTATATTAGCTTACAAGCTGGTATGAAGAGTCAGAGGCAAGAGGGGAAGGAAGTGTGAAAACTTTCCATCTTACGATTCAACAGCTTATCTTTTTATTATTTACTAAGGTGTTAGTAGTTTGTAGCCTGCATTATGTTTTTAAGTTTTGACATCTGACTTAGATACTGGTCTTCTAATTTCAGAATGGTATATTGAGGGGTCTGCAGTAAAGAGTTGTAGAAATTCTGTGTACACGTGATTTTTTTGAGAGTACTGGCAATTTGGTGGTTTGTAAAAAGATACAGTGTTAACTTCTGTTTCTGGGAAATTGTTGGAGTAGTTTTGGGTTTCTTTATTTTTTGTTTGGTTGGGTTTTTTAATCAGTTAACTTTCTCAAAAGTTTCAGAAGGTAGATGTCTGCAACAATAATTTCTAAAGAGAGTAGACACAAAGTAAACCAGAACTGTAAAACACTGGAGATGTAATGTTTTGTCCTAGTTTGAGAGAGCACATGCAGCATATCTAGATGTTAATTGGCTTTTCTTGTCTTTTTTTCTCCCTCTTCCTTCTTTTCCTGTATTTCAGAATGTATATTTTTGGTGGATGGGTTCCACAGTCAGCAGGAGGTGAAATTTCTGCTCACGATGGTGAATGGAAATGTACCGGTTCATTTTCTTATCTTAATTTGGGTTAGTGTTTCTGCCTTTCTGGGAGCGGGCATTTGGAGTTAATACTTTCTTAACAGAATGGAGTAAATATTTTGAATACCCTGAGAAAACGTTTAGGGTACACAGTTCTAATCTTGGCTCACTAAAGAAGATGCCTTTTTTGTTTGATTGTTTTTTACATTTTTCTTAAGAAGTGGTTATTCTAATTAGTAGTATTTTTCTTTGAACATTCAGCAGGTTTGCTTCTGCAGATCTCTGTTAATATGACTTTAATACTCAGTAATATAAATACTCCTCCTTCATTTATAGAAGAACCCAAGAGACAGATCCTGAAATGAGTTTTTTCTAAATGGGGTAGTACTATCCCTGAAAGCTCAACTTCTGATCTTATATTTGCCTGAGACAGACAACCAGAGGTCAGAAATTCATTCTGTGTTAATTGATTGTATCTTGCAAACTAATTGAAAGTGATCTCTTTGTAATATTGCAATTGTCTGTAAAAAGAGAGGTGATTTATTTTCCTTTTTTCTGAGCAGTTAAGTGTATTAACATCTGTTTTGCTTGTTTCGGAAGACATCTAGAAACTAAATCTTTTGAGTTTCATTCACTAGATACCACAGAATGGATAGGTCTGATCTCAGATTGCCAGGAGGACAAAAGTAACTTGTTACCAGGGCCAAGAGCAGGACACTGTGCTGTAGCGGTTGGCACTCGTCTGTATATCTGGAGTGGTAGAGATGGTTACAGAAAAGCTTGGAACAATCAAGTTTGCTGCAAAGATCTTTGGTACCTTGATACCGGTGAGTCAGAAATAAGTAAGAGATTTATACTGTGTTCCAAATTCTATTATTATATGGGAAGCTGGCATCATTGACGAACAGAACATCTAAAGTTGTAGCAAACTCGGAGATTACTTAAATCTTACAGCTTATTTAAATAAACCACACTTCAGTGTTGTTTGAAGGCTCCAGCTATAACTTTAACTGAAAAAAAGTAGGAAAGCTTGTTTAAAGCCTCTGGAAGAATTTTGTGGCTAGATTCTTCATTGCATGTCATAGTAGATACAAGGTGCTAAAGGGTGTTTTACCTAACCTCAAGGTTCCTGGCCTCCCTTCTTAGTGATCTTTGCTGTGGCTACTCACTCTTTCTTACCAAACTCCTCCTTCTCTTGGGATCATTGCTGCTGCTGCTTCCTCATCTCTTGGACTGCAAAAAGATAGTGTCAAATCTGAGAAAGGACCAAACTGTTCCTGGGGCTGAGGGGAGTTCGGGAGCACCAATCACTCATTAGCTGACTTGATAGCAGGACACAGAAATAGTATTGGGAGAGAGGGAACTAGAATAGTACTTTTGGGAGGGAATTGTTGCCCGCTCAAGCAGAAGCAGGAGAATAGTTACTGGAGATTATGAAACATTTGGGAGATTGGTTTGGTTTTGTGTTTGGTTTATTTTTGGGTTTTGTTTTGTTTTGATCTTCAGGAAGGTCAGAAAATGAGAAAGAATAGCAGGGGAGGTATGTGCTTGAGAATGCAGCCTAGTCAGGCATGAAGGCAAGTGAGAGGAGCAGGTCATTGGTGTTGAATTATGCCTAGGCTTCAGCCTTTGCAGGAGGAATTTTAAGGGAAAGTTCACTTTAGCTACCAAGAGGAAGAAAAAAGGAAGCACAGTCTTCTGTGAATCCCCTCCAGGAATACATAAAGCTTTAGGAGGCAAAGAGCTGTGTGCAGCTTTTTAGGAAAGGATGAGGATCTCTCTGTAATCCCTATAGTGTTGTATAAGCAAATCAAAGACTTACTGGCAGCAGAAGATCCACTAAAAAACAAAGCATCAAAACTTAAGTGTTTTTGAAGACCCTTAAAGTTCTCTGACTTGACTTGCCACCTTTGACAACTGTTTCTTGTAGAATATGGTATATATTGTACATAAGCAAAAAAGGAGCTATTGATTTGGCTTGTATTATATAAATATTTCTTAAACTGATAAAGGAGGGCAATTTTAAACATGCCATCTGTGTTTTATTGGTTTCTTGTAGAGAAACCTCCAGCACCATCACAGGTACAGCTGATTAGAGCTACAACCAACTCTTTTCAAGTGAAATGGGATGAAGTACCTACAGTTGAAGGGTATCTTCTTCAGTTACATGCTGACTCGCCACTGCCACCAGCGGCTGGAATACCTGGTACTGGGATTCCTGAGACATCAGTGCTGAGCCCACAAGGTAGTAGTGAGATCATGATATGCTAATGTTTGTGCAGAGATAGAGGATTGCAGAAATAATAAATTTTTTAATGTATGTGTAACTTTGAGAGAGAGTCCCTGTTTCTTTGGTTAGTTCCCAAATGTGTGCGTTATGATTACGGAAATCTCAGCTTTAACTTCTCTCTGTCAGTTTTGGACATCTGTCTGAATATGAAGATATTTGTACAGTGCTGGGCACAATTTGAGAAAGGAGACAGTGAGGAAGGGATTTTATCTGACTGACTGGCCGTGCAGCTTGATTTCAGTCTTACAACCAAGTCTTCCTTCAGGCAGCTTTGGGTCTCCCTCTTGCTTACTGGAATAGATTCCAATGAACATAATGTTAAGCTTTATGTAACTGATTGGAATTTGGTTTTGTTTACCTGAAAGGTGGCTCTTCTCTACATCAAAGTCCACAGTCGTTGCCTAGTGTCCCTTATCCAGAAATGAAGGTGGATCATCCCAGCCAAACAAATAATGTCAGTCCTAATAATGTAAGTGTAAACTAAAAAAACACCTTGAAGTAGCAAAGCAGTGTGGGAAGCAAGAGAGCTGTCAAAACGTTTCTTGGTTTTATAAGTCCCTACATACTTTTAGTCTTTTGAGAAAAAAACCCAACAAAAAAAAGACACCTGCTGAAATAGTAATGTCTGTTTCCTTATGTCTTTTTTAGTTTTATGATTGGCAAACAGTTTTGGTAATGCAGAAAGGAAAATCCAACTGTATTGACTTCCAGAATGCTAACTGGAAGCCTGATATCAGTAGAAATACCATTCATTCTCAAAATGTTGGGGAAGTTAATGTGGGAGGCAGAAAGGAAAGTCGTATTCCTTCTTTGTTAGTGTTTTTATGCTAGCCTGCTTAGTTGTAGGTTCCTACTGCAGAATAAAATCAGTTATTACCTATTCTGTTTGTACATGTTCCACTGTTTTGTCAATTTAAAAGAATGAGGGAGGACGAACTCTGGCTAAAGGATTACATTTTTAGAAATGTATACCTTTTCTTAATTGGGTAAAGCCTCAGGTCTGAATGGGATTCATAATGTGTTCTTGTAGAAAACACGTGTAGAAGTACAGTAAATTTTACTAACAGTAAAAATATCTTAGGCACATGCCAGGAAAGCAAAGGTTGAAAACCTCTGTAACTGTGATTTATTTTTTTTGTCCCACTCCCTCAAGTTCCCTCAATAGACTAAATGCATGCACCAGTGAGCTTCCATGTAATAAGAAGGTGAGCTTACTCTTGAGTAAAATGTAGTATGTGTTAGGGACACTTCCAAGCCAACCTACAGTTGGAGTCTTTGTTTTATAATGGCTAAGATGAGGTGAATTGTGAGGTTGGTTTCTTGGTTAAAACGCTAGGGGGATTTGTTGGAGGATTTTTTGTTTGTTGTTTTTGAGCAAGTGTTTTCATGCCATGTTTGCAACTGACATTTCTTAACTTTGCAGTTAAACATTAACAAATGTGTTGTTTTGGTTAGGTCCAAGTTTCCCTTTCATCCAACTCACTATTAAAAGTAGAAGGAAAAGAAAAGGTTGCAGCACCTGAAAACAAGATTACACACGAGACTATGAAAAACCATGCTGATGCTACAGGATTCAAAGAATCAAATGCCCCTTCTCTTTTGCCTGTTTGTACTTCAAGTAAGATGATTATAGAATAAAAATTAATCAAAAAGTGAGAGTTAAAATTCATCTCATAAACATAAAGTAAGGTTATATCTGTCTTGGCATTTAATTGTTTGAGGCCTTTGTAGTTTAAAAATACCCCAACTTGTGCTAGTTATTGCTGAATGTGGTGTTAGATGATACAAAGAAAAATGAAATCTTAAATTGTTCAAAGTGTTGCAAGGGACATGAAATTTTCACTATATTCATTATTATGATGGCAAATGCATATCTTTAAACATAAATAGCTGTTTTTAACATCAAAGAACAGACTGACAGGACCAGATTCATTTTACAGCATTAAGGTAAAAGTAACTGCAGGCTCTCTTTGACACTACTTCTGTCTGTTAATTGTGAAAAGCTATTAGCTGATGTAAAATTTTAGACAACATGGGGAGGAGCGTGTTTCTCTTTGACTGTAGAGGACATAGAAGATCAGCAGGCACTGATACAGGCATTGCACTGACATGCCTTAAGTTGAGTGTGGTGAATCCAGAGTCACCTGATCTTTATATTTGACTTTCATCTAATTTATAGGTTGTTTCTTCACTGTGTAATTTAAGTGTTGTGTGCGAATTTTGGATCTTAGTGCTGAGTTAGACTTCCACAGTGGTTAATCTTCAGTTGATGGTTACAAATCTGTGATACTGGTTTGTGTGGGTACTTTGTATTAGGATTTTTTTTTTCAAATTAATTAGCTTGTAACCAAATAGGTACAGAATAGCAGCTTAAAACAAGTGAAATCACTGTTTTAGTGTAACTGTTTATGGGTGTCTGTTTATGAGCATGCAGACAGACTCTTGTTAAGTTATATTCCTAAAGAAAGCGATTAGCAGTTAACATAACCAGATCTATTCTGACTTGAATCTGAGCTGAACTCTGGTTTTAAATGAAACTGAAGTTATTAGGTCAAGATGAGATTTGTTAAGTGTTATCACTATTGAATTCTGGTTAATATTTTCTTTTTTTTAAGGTCCTCAGACTTCAGCAAATGTAGGTGAATTACATGACTTGGACAAACAAACTGTAAATCCTGATGCTTCTGTATCCAGTACTGTCTCCAGCACACAAACTATGGTAACCCAGCAGGCTGTTAAAACTGAATCATCAAGTACAAATGGGGCAGTTGTTAAAGATGAAACTTCACTAACAACATTCAATTCAAAATCTGAAGGTTTGAAATGTGTTTCACATACTGTATTTTGAGCCATATGTATCTAAGGCCATCAGAGTTCCTCTAGTGTGGTGGGATTTCCATCTTGACTAGTACCTGGGATTGAGATAGGGCTTTGGGCATTGAGGACCTTGGGCAGCCTGGATGGTCTCTGCTATGATTTAAACATCTTTTAAAATCGGGATATTCCTTTTATATCTTTGTAAACCACTTTGTTTCCTGTAAGTGAAAAGTCCTTTAAATCTGCGTTTATGCAGAAGCCCATTTTCTAAACAGCAGTGGCAGCCAGTTTTGGTGCCCATAGCACATTTGCTTTCATTCAGTGATTGTCTGTTTATTCAGTCAACAAAAGACTACAAATAGTAACCTCTGATTCTGATGTTAAACAATTGACCTCTAATGAATACGGCCAGTTCATGTGCCTCACTCACCGTCAGTCAGATGTGGTGACCTCTTCAGTCTGCTTGAAATAGCCAAAATAAGCAGTGGTGTAGAAACTAAACGTATTAGTAGTTTTTCAAGTTCTGTTTCTCTTGACTATCAACAGGCTGTGCTTGCTGTTGTTCTGAGTGTTAAGAATTGTGTTCTCTTATTGGCGCTGTGCGAGTAGTGTAATTTTTACCAAACAGTATTCTATTTTAAAAGCAAACCCCAGAAACACAAGTACAGAATACTCATTTTCCCTTGTGTTGCTTATGTGCTTTGGTTTCTTTTTTTTTTTTTTTTTTTAAGATTCCATTTTACATTTAATAAATGTTCTTTTCCCATTTGTTAGGATTGTATAAGGATGACCTTCTCATGTTCAGCATTCAGACTGTGTCGGTGTCAGAATGCATTCAAATTAAGATTTCTTGCTTAGACTATTCATACAATGTCATCAGTATGTGCTTCAATCTAGTATTTAGATCATTTGTTCACAAATGCTTCATACTGATTTCATAATTGTGTCACTTTTTAGGGTTTTTTGGGTCCTGCCTTCTGTTTGTGTTATCTGTAGCAGCCTGCAACGCCAGGCTCTTACAATTGTTCTGTGAATATGGTGCAAGCCAGAATTAGCTATCTGTGCTATAAATAGAACTGCATGCAAAAGTAGTCTGAGACCTATTTTTGCAACAAATACTTGTAAATGCTTGTTGAGGGCAACTTGTGTACTCTGTGGACTTTGTATTAATTTTTTTTCTATCACTTAAGCTTTTTAAATGTAACTTTTTGTTCCTAGCTGCTGAAACTGCGTATGTCATGCCTTCCACAAGGGTCAATTCAGGACAGACAAATGATTCGCACTCCTCTGTAAGTCTGCAAAAGTATAATTAAATAGCTGTATTTATTGTTCTGTTGATTAGTTGCAAGGGCTCTTCTGTTTTCCTTTTATTATCTCTCTGAAAGAAAAGCAATGTATATTTAGTGCTTGAAGTGAATAATAGAGGAGTAAACATTTCTGTTGTAAAACTAATTGCATTGTGTGGGTTTGATTTGAGTCTAAGCAGCAGTTGTGTAGTTGGGAGGAGATCCAAGTATGTGTTCAGCTGTTGAATCATTTTTATCGACTGGCACAGTGGAATGGTTCTCTGCTGCATGATGTGCCAATGTAAAATGTTGTTTCTGTATGGACAACTGGATTTAAAGTGAAGTATGTGTTAGATCAGACTAGTGTTAGCTGCTGATCTGTAGGTTTGAAACGTTACTAAACTGACATCTTGATGTTTTTCCCTAGAGGAGATGGGGACTGGCTATGCAAGCTGTAAATACTGCCTGAAAAAGTAAATGCTTCCTATTTCACCTGTTTACAACTTAATGCACAAAATCAAGGTGCCATTGTTGCCACCAAAAGGGAGGAGCTAAGGATGGGAAGAAGCAGCTGCTGCTAAAGGGTTGGGGTGCTCTTGCCAAGAGCAGCTGCCACTCCTGCCCCTCTTCCGTGCCAGCAGGACCATGGCCCGGCTGTGTGGGGCACACTGACCACCCCAGCGCCCTCCCTGGTGCCTGGAGACAAGCAGGAAAGACAGTTTGTCTTTCTGGGTCAGTCAGGAACAGTTCCCATGCCTTCCACCACCATCACCCCATGCCACAGCAGAGGCCCTGTTCTCAGCTGCAAGTGAGTTCAGCAGCACCTTGAAAGAGAGTGTGTTTGGGGCTGAGGTACAGCTGAATCCCAGGTAGAGCTACTGATGCTGGACCACGTTGTGGAACTTCTTGACATCTGAGTGAAATAAACTTGCAACTACCTGCTGCTGCAGACACCTAGTTCTACAGCTTTGAGCTTCTTCCCCTCCCTGTTTAAACTAGAATGTCAGAGGTGACATCCCAACTGTTGGTTGTTTGTGGGGTCTTTTTAAACGATGGATTGCGTCTAAGTCAGTGTATTACAACCAGTTGGTTTTGAACAGTATTTTAATAACATATGCATATTCAATTCAAGCATAAGAAAGTAACACTGGTATAAAAGGGGGTTGTCTCTTACATGTACTAGTCTTGACTTCTTGTTTTTACATTACCTTGAAGTATGGGTAGTCTGCATAATGTGTTCTAAAAATACTAGAAAACTCCCCAGAGAGCGATGGCACCGGTGAAAGCAAGAGACCGGCAGTGGTACGACGTTGGGATTTTTAAGAACAGCAGTGCTGTGGTGAGCCAGTTCTACTTGCTGCCAGAGGAAACACTGAACATCTCTAACAAGGTAGCTGCTAATGCTTCTCTGACATAACTTGCACAGATGTATTTTGGAACCTGTTGCTCATATGGGTGACAACAAAATGTAGGATTTCTGGTACCGCAGCAGGATCAGGTGCTTGTAGGAGTTTTGTATTTTGTGACCAGTAGTTCCTCATGTATTTTGCTCACCTTTTTTTACTATTTCCTAAAACAGATGAATTTTCTTCTCTTGTTTTTGTATAATAATATAGAACATCTTATTTTGCTGTTACTAATTCTTTCCGTATTTCTGTTTCTAGGCTTAGTAAGGAATTCTAAACTTAGTGAACTTTCAAACCAGTAAAAATTCTTAAAACTAAAAAAAATCCACAACCCAATAACTCTTAAATATGTTATTTCAGAACAGCATGGAAATGTTTCAAAGTTTTTTCTTTGTTTCCAGATTCTTTGCTTACCAATTGTTGTTGATACTAATAAGACATAGATTAGGCTGCTTAAAGAGACTAGATATGGAACTGTAGTGGGTTTTGTGTTAGATTTCTCTAACTTACTGTTGTTGCACATGTAAGTTTATCTATTAGAATGCTATACATGTAAAACGCAGAAATGTTGCAGCTTTGATGGTGTTTAAATTAATGATGTGGTGAACTATAAACAAAAACTAATGGGTTTATGTTTTCTTGAGACAGAAACAAAAGAACAGAACACTTTATTTAAAAGCACTTCGAAAAATATTGCACATCTTGGTTTAGAAGGGTAGTACGTTTTACAGTGTTTTCATTGATTGTGACTTCTTGTACATTATTCAGAAGGAAAATACTTCTGTTTGATGTTTCAGTGATGCATCAATGCATATTTTATACATGGAACTACAGTAGCACATAATGTTTCAGAAACCTATTCGACAGTAACTTACAGTGCTTTTCTTCAAAAACATTTTGATTACCTATGAATCTAGTTGCAGCTGACTCCTAACTATAGGAATAACTGGTTTTGAAAGAAAAAATATTTTTTAGGGCAGACAAGTCTGTCATAAAGCTGTACAGTTGGAAATGCTACTTTGCTTTTGCTTTCCCAAGTGAAAATAATCAAGAGCTGCAGTTCAATTTAAACGATTGAAAAATGGGGGAATTGGTTGGAGATGGAGTCTCATATTGCATCTTAGGTCAGCTGTTTTGGGCTGAGTTAGTGCTTCAGTCAGAACCGTTTTGTAAATTCTGATTTAAGTACCAAAGTATTAGCTAGATTTTCAGCTTCAATTGAATGCATTAATCTCAATTTATCACTACCCACTTTATATTATTGTAGACTAATTGTGTTTAGAATATTTTAGAAATTAACACAAATGTTGCTTTGTTTTCAGATGGAAAGTGCAGATGTACCAGACTACAGATTACTTAAGAAACAGGATCTTTTTCCAGGCACAGTGTACAGGTTCAGAGTTGCTGCAATTAATGGCTGTGGTGTTGGGCCTTTCAGTAAAATCAGTGAATTCAAGACTTGCATTCCAGGTTTTCCTGGAGCTCCTTCAACAGTCAAAATCAGCAAGGTGAGAAATATAAGTATTTCTAGTTCTGATGTGTTATACATCCTGATCACAAGCTACATCTCAAAACTCTTGGTTTTAGTTGGTTTGTTGTTGGGTTGGGGTTGTTTTTTGTTTTTTGTTGTTTTTTTTTTTTTTAAGTTAAAGTTGTCATGTAGTGTCAGATGCTTATTTGGTTAATTCTGCTCAATGTAATACTCTAAGAAATTTGCTATAAAGAATTATTTTAAGAGTTAGTGATCATGTTATCAGATACACATCTTCCTTCAATCATGTAATAGTTTCCCTATGAGGATGGACTGAGCTTCGGGTGGCATGGACTAGCGTGAGGCATCCCTGCCCATGGCAGAGGGGGTTGGAATTAGATGATATTAAGGTTCTTTCCAACCCTAACTATTCTATGATTCTATGAATTTTTTCTCTTCCTGCATCCTTAAATCTATAGGGGTTTAAACAAGACATCAAAAGACACATCCTTATCTCCAATGAGTAACAATGTTAGGTTAGAATTTTCAGATAATCTTTAGAGGGGCTTTTTGTATTTCTCTCTCTCTGTATTTTATATATATAAGATATATGTAAATATATGTATTATTAATAT